TGGGGTGGGGATTGGAATTTTTTTTTTTTTTTTTTTAAAGCTTTGAGGAATGTAAAATTTGTTTAGAAAATTTCTTTATTACTTATAAATATATATAGCCCTTGTTTGATCCCCATTATTTTCAAAATATAATTTTTCTTTCTTTTTTCAATCACACATTATTCAATAAAATAATATTATAATACGCAAACCCATACTTTTCTTTATTTTTTAACCACGCATTCCCCATCAATTTATTATTCTAAAATGTATTCTTAGTAAAAAAAAAAGGGCTCAAACAAGCTCATATTTAAAAATTATTGGGGACCCAATCAAAACGGGGACTTTAGATGATTGCCTATCAAGCATATAGTCAAAGTCGACACTAGTTTTATGGACAAATGACACAAACATATCCCTTTAAATTATTATATCCCATAATTTTTAGAGGAATACTATTTGTCATCATTATCATTATAAGGATTTTCATGCATAGACTATCATTTCGGATGGATTGTGAAATCTTGTGGAAAGATATTTTATTGGTGTTTTGGATTATTGAATTGCTAATGGATACTATTGAATTATTGAAACTTGACAAGGTAGCTGACAAAGCAGCTGAATTGGAAAGATATGAAGGAGTTGGTTGAAGAATCAGCGGTAGAAGCAGCAATTGAAAGATGATTACACAATTGGTAGCCAACTTGGAATAACAGAATGAGAATTCTCTAGAAGAAGGAAGAGGAATTTTGTAAATTTTTCAGTTGTGAGAACGTGTATGTAATATACTCTGCTTTTCTATACAATTTCAGCAAGCAGAGAAATCAATACAATTCTTTGCTTTATTTTTGCCTCCATTGTTTAGCTAATTTCCTTCATTATCAATTCATTTCTAAGACGGTATCAGAGCCGGCCTTAGAAGATTCAAGTGCTGGAGATACAAATACAGATCAAAACCAAAACCAAAACCAAACCCAAACCCAAACCCAAACCCAAACCCAAACCCAAAATCCAATGCTAATCAATCTGGCAACCCATCAAATGCTGTAAACCTTGATCCCACTCAGCCTAATAGCCCATATTTCATTGGAAGCAATGACAGTACTAGAGCCTTGCTCGTAACCCACACCATGGATGCTGACAATTATCATTCGTGGGCGCGATCAATGAAAAGAGCATTGCGAGTCAAAAATAAATTGGGATTTATTGATGGAAGCTTATGTGAACCAGCAAACACAAAACGACCCACTCATGGAACAATGGTTGCGTTGTAATGACATAGTTATTACATGGATACAAAACACAATGGCAACTGATATCAAATGTAATACCGCATATGCTGAAATGGCACATCGACTATGGATTGAGTTGGAGCAACGTTTTGCTCAGCAAAATGCACCTCGCGTCTATGAAATCAAACAAGCCATAAGTATGCTACTGCAAAAACAAGATCTTGTAAGTGTCTACTTTTCCAAATTCAAAACACTTCTTGATGAGCTCATGAACTATGAAGCTGTACCTAACTGTAATTGTGGAGGCTTGAAGATAGTCATTCAGAATAAACAAAGGGACTGGGTAATAAAATTTTTGATGGTCTTGAGTCATTCATATAAGGAAATTAAGGCACGAATTCTGTTGATCAAACCATTTCCCAGTTTGAATGAAGTTTACTCAATAATACAGCAGGAAGAGAAAAGAAGGGAGATATCAATTGAGGGATACTTACATGAATCTATGGATCTTCTTGCAAAGGGAAATTTCAAAGAAAAGGGAAGGCAAAGCACTCATGTGCAGAAGAGACACATATACTACTGCACATTTTGTAAAATTGCAGGACACTCACTTGATAGATGCTTTAAGGCAAACCCAGACAGACCAATTTGTACTCGCTGTCAGATTCCTGGCCATCAGTGGACAAATGCTACAAACTTCTTGGCTATCCTCCAGGCCACAAATTCAATGGAAATGAAAGGACGTCAGCAAATCAAGTTGTGGCATCTTTATCTCCTGCACACGAGGCTGGAAACGGCAAATCCCAGGAGTTCTTAAGTCAAGACCAAATTTCACAACTCATGGCTCTTCTCAAGCCTGTCACTAAGCCTCAAAACCAGAATTACTCAGTCAAAAATGCTCAAAGTATCATTACCTCCACCTCAACTGAGGAAAATATACACCAGCTATCTGGTATGTCCCTATGTATGTCTATTACCAAACCAAATGTCCTAACATGTTAAATATTCCTTGTATACTTGACACAGGAGCAACATATCATATGATCTGTTCCACTTCGTTTTACTCATCAATTCGTGTTGAGGTTGCATATTCCATAGCTCTACCAAATGGCAATGTGGTCCCTATTACCCACATAGGGACTGCAAAGGTCACAAATGCTTTAATGCTTCAAGATGTTCTATGTGTACCTAGTTTTTCATTCAATCTCATTTCTATCAAAAAGCTAACACAGATGCTCAAATGTTGTCTAATTTTCTTTTCTCATTGCTGTTATATCCATGACCTTTTAGCATGGAAGATGATTGGTATGGGTGAAGTAAAAGAAGAGCTATATCACATGATGGTCAAAGATGTTCCCTCTTCAGCACTATCAAATTACCTGAACAAATTGCATACTCATACCCAAATTCCTGTTTCTGCTTTAGCTATCTCAAATATTCAAGACTTTGATGTTTGACATTATAGATTAGGACACACTTTTTACTCTATTCTTAGCGTTGATGGTGATGTTCAAGTCTCCAAATCATCTAATAATAAATGTTCTTATATATGCCCTCTATCTAAATTGCACAAATTACCTTTTCACACAAGCAATCACAAAACTAACAAATGTTTTGAATTATTACATTGTGACATCTGGGGTCCCTGCAATGAAATTGGTTCTGATGGTTCCAAGTATTTCTTAACCATTGTGGATTTAGTAGATATACTCGGGCCTATACCTTGAGACTGAAATCAGATGTTTCCAAAGCCTTTTAAACCTTTTGTGCTATGGTTGAAATACATTTTGAAACCAAGGTTAAGATAATTAGAACGGATAATGGTGGAGAATTCAATGTGAGAGAATTTTATCTTCAAAAAGGCATTATACATAAAAAAAAAAAAAAAAACCTGTCTTGAGACACCCCAACAAAATGTCGTCGTTGAAAGGAAACATAAACACATTCTTAATATGGCGAGGGCCTTGAAGTTCCAAAGTGGAATTCCGTTAAAGTATTGGAACCATTGCATCCTAACTGCGGTGCCCTCATCTACATTGAAAGATAAAAGTCCTTACCAGATTTTATTCCACAAAAAGCCACCTTATAACCACCTTAAAGTTTTTGGTTCTCTAGCTTATGCCACTACCATTGTCAATGGAAGAATAAATTCGATCCTAGAGCCAAAAAATGTGTGTTCATAGGCTACCCTTTTGGAGTAAAAGGATATACCTTATTAGATCTTGAGACTGAGAAAATCTTCACATCTAGGAATGTAGTTTTTTATGAAAACATTTTTCCCTTTAAGGATGACTCTGTCACATTAAATTATAATAGCATCAATTCCATTCAAGACCCCATAGCTCACAATGAAACAACCAATACCATTCCAAGCACCGTCATGATAATAAAATGCCAGAAATAAGCTCTCAAATCATTCAACCTGAGAAGAATGAGCCTCACACTTGTACTGACACTAACGCTTCTAGCCCCTCACCAAGCACAACTTCTACTACTCATTTGCCCCACAAGTCAACCAGAATAAAAAAAAAGCTCCAGCACATCTTCAGGACTTCATATGCCACTGGCTACTTCACTTCACCCATCTCAAACGTTGGCCAAGCTAAAGGTACGGGATTTTTCCAGTTGCCACTATCCTTTCAATGCTAGTATTTCCTATTAAAGGTTGCCAGATTCACACAAAGTCTTTGTTACCTCTGTCACTTCTCATACAGAACCTAGGAACTACCAAGAAGCCAAAAATTCTCCTTAGTGGTGTGCAGCCATGAAATCTGAAATTGAAGCTCTTGAACTTAATCACACTTGGGTTTTGGTTGACCTACCTCCTGACAAGGAAGCAATAGGCTGCAGATGGGTGTACAAGATCATATTTCATGCTAATGGTAGTATAGAAAGGTTCAAAGCAAGACTCATTGCTAAAGGATATACACAACAAGAAGGACTCGATTACCATGAGACCTTTTCACCTATTGCCAAACTGTTCACGGTCAGAACTCTACTAGCAATAGCAGCCATAAAGGGATAGGACATTTTTCAGTTTGATGTCAACAACGCCTTCTTGCATGGTGAATTGGAAGACGAGGTGTATATGGAGATCCTCCGTGGTTATTTGTAGGATGACACGAAGAAGAAAGTTTGTAAACTCCAAAAAAGTTTGTATGGTTTGAAACAAGCATCACGTCAATGGTACGCCAAACTTTCAAAAAAATTCATTGAACAAGGATATGTTCAATCGAAGGCAGATTATAGCCTATTTACTAAAGGTAATGGTACCTCTTTTATTGTTGTCTTAGTGTATGTTGATGACATAATTGTGGCTAGAAATTGCATTAACATGATTAACCACCTCAAAACTTCACTTCATGACAAGTTTAGGATCAAGGATCTTGGCAGGTTAAAATATTTCCTTGGCATAAAAGTGGCCAGGTCTGCAAAAGGTATCAGTATATGTCAAAGGAAGTAAGCCTTGGATATCTTGGATGACTCGGGGACAATTGGTTTAGCTCCTGCCAGAATACCTTTAGATCAAAATATAAAATTAACCAAAGATGAAAGGGAATTTCTCCCTGAACTAGCAATTTACAGAAGATTGGTTGGCAGCTTGCTGTATCTAACAATAACCAGACCTGATATTTCTTACTCGGTGTAGTTGTTAAGTCAATTTATGGAAAGCCCCCGAATCCCACATTTGCATGCAGCACATAAAGTCCTAAGATATAGCAAAAGGGCTCCAGGCTAGAGGATATTCTATCCAGCAGATTCAACATTACAGTTACATGGATATAGTGATTCAGATTGGGGAGCTTGTACTATTACTAGACGATCAATAACAGGTTATTGTGTGTTAGTTGGAAAATCAATGGTGTCTTAGAAATCAAAGAAGCAACATGTGGTCTCAAGATCATCTTCGGAAGTCGAGTATAGAGCTATGGCTGATTTGTGTTGCGAACTAACATGGTTCAGATACTTATTTGAAGACTTGAATATAGCTCATCCTCAAGCTGCATTTTTGTACTGTGACAACAAATCAGCCATTCATATAGCCACCAACCAAGTTTTTCACGAGAGGACCAAACACATAGAGCTCGATTGTCATTTGATTCGTGACAAAATTCAAGATGGATACATTGTTACTAAGCATGGTCCTAGCAAGTCATAGATTGCAGACATTTTTACCAAAGCCTTGGACTCGCAAGGTTTTTACTCATGCATGCTCAAGATGGGACTAATAGACATATACTCTCCATCTTGCAGGGGGCTATTGAACGTTGACTAGGCAGCTGACAAAGTAGTTAAAATGGAAAGACATGAAGGAGCTGGTTGGAGAATCAGCAATACAAGCAACAATTGAAAGATGCTTACACAATTGGCAACCAACTTGGAATAACAGAATGAGAATTCTCTAGAAGGAAGAGGAATTTTGTAAATTAGTTGCCTTTTTATTGTGAGAACATGTATGTAAATTATTTCTTCTAGAATAGCCTACTGTGTGTATATATACTTTGCTTTTCTGTACTGTTTCAGGAAGCAGAAAAATCAATTCAATTCTTTGCCTTATTTCTGCCTCCATCGTTCAGCTAATTTCCTTCATTATCAATTCATTTCTAAGAATAATCTTTTCGAGTTGACATTTAGCAACTCTAGAGTGAAAATTGTGAAATCCAATTATGCATCTACACTGAAGAAATTGGCATTTCATCTGTTGTAGTATGCTTAGGTGAGGTGAGAGTTAAACAAGTGGATTTGAACCTTGGGCACAGAGTAAAAACTTGTGTTCCAAACCAGAAACTTGAGATGAGACCATGTTTTTTTGTAGTGTCATGGGGATAAAGTTTGTTACGTTTTAGTGTTTTCCATTTTTATTTTTTTTATTTTTTATTTTTTATTTTCTATCAATTTTTTTTAATAATTTATTACATTTTTTTTGAATTTCTATTAATTTTTTATTGATAAACATCACTTTTTAAGAAGTGACACTCACTCTTCTAATAAAAAAGTGACATTTAACTTTACAAAATATTTTTTACTTTTAAATTACTTTTCATATGATTTTTCAAAAGACCTTGTTTCCACTATCATGATTCGAACAACAATATTCCAACTATACAAACACATACCATAGGTGGATCCTAGTCAACACCTCTAAATGACACCCTATGTTCATGAAAAATTGTTTTAAGCTTCAAATGTACATCATTGCAATTTGATTTCGACTTCTTTTAACAGGGAAAGCTGGGCTACAAAGGAATTTTTGCACCATATAGAAACCGAATTGTGTAAGGCCAGATTGCTTTCACTTCGAATTGTATTACGTTCTATAGTACCAAATCATGTAATTCTAACTTTCTACTAGTTTCACTGTCCTTCCACCTACCAACGTAATGCAAACCACAAGAAGATCGTTGTTCCTATGATTATCTCATTGTTTTCTACCAAATAATTCTGTGTCTATACGTTTTCTTACTCCAAGAACGAAAATATAGTAAACAAATGAGAAAGAAAAAGGGATTTGATAGAGCAAAAAAAGACACGGGACAACTTCAAATGGGGTTTAGTATTGCTCTCAAGATCCATGTAAAACGGAACATAAAAGGAAAGAAGCACATCACACGAATGAAATTGTCCTTGTTCTAAACAAATGTAAGCAGATCATCACTTAAAAAGCCGGGATATGTGGTTGAGCAATTCATCTTCCCAGCAATGCAACCCGATCCTTCTGTACGGCCAGTGCCAAATTTACATCAAACAGCTCACACCGAATTGGCATCTCCATCTCATAGAAAGGGTTCTTCAAAACGTAGTCTGTGTATAACTCATATATGTGTTTCAAGAGACCCTCCATGTGAGGTGTTCCAGGCTCACACACCACAAAGAATTTAGTACCTATTATAAAGTAATATGTAATTTCAGATATTAGACTTATGATGTGAATAGTTATATCCATTAACAAAATTCATCGAGTACACAGAACTCTTGATCAACTGAAAGCCGTATGGAAAACCATCCAATTCAATTAAGAAAATGATTCCAGCTACATAAATATCACACTTTATCACTTCAGTTCCAGAAAATGAAATAATTTTATAGAGGCCTGCAGATCAGTAGAAGAATCCAAATCTTTCTAGATACTTGAAACATCTGACAGATGCAAGCAAAATGAAAACCCTACAAACAACTCAAGTCTTTATTTTCTTCAACCCTCCCACCTTCCAAAAACCACTTTCTAATCCATTTTGTTCTCGTACATTTTCAGTATAGTTCTCATCTCATTTTCTAGTTTCTCTCAGAGTCGTGTCTTCTAAAAATTTTATCTTTTTATTTTAGTCCATAAAAAATCATCGACCAAGGCGGGAATTACTATCACTAATGAAGTCAAGCCAACCACTCTTTCGATCTTACTCATTATGCAACTACAATTGCTCCAATACTGACTACAGACCACTTGACACAATTAAAGTCCTCTTCCTAAAATCTTAGCAAGTGGACTTCCCTGCCCTTTCATAATATCAAAATTAAGATTTTGCTTAACTTTATGTCTGAGATAGAGGAAGGTGAATGATGAGAAGACACCCAGAACAACTCCTTGGAACTCTGTAAAAGACTGCACATATTCCTCATGTCAAATCATGCAATTTCACCAAGTCTGAAAAGCATAAAGAGTATAGATGCTGACTAGGCACCAGGCATTGGAAACAGTTTTTACTGGAGTTCCATGCATCATCAAACGGAGATGTCCATGTGCAAACCCAAAGCAAAAATTCATGCAATTATAGAGGATGGGTTAGATCTTCACTTGCCCAAAATATAAATGAAGGTGATTTCAAACTATTAGTTGCGAATGAAATAGATGCAATCTATCCAACTTGCATTTATTACCATTGATGCTTGGACAAATCACGACATAAGGAAAGGATACAAGATGAGAATGAAAGATCAATTAAGATGATAAAACAAAAATGGCCAAAGCATTAATAGGGTAGATGAGGACATAATACAAATTAATTCAAGAACATAATTAAAAGATTGACAACGATTGATCAATAGCTATTGAACGTGGTCCAAATTCGATAATCACATCATATCCTATTAAGCTGTTCCTATCCAAAATTTTGCCTCATTCTGACCAATAGACCAACAACACACAATCACCAGCGACTTTCCACCTTGCTGTAAGCTTAGTGGTGCTATAGTTATTGAAATTGCAAGGCATTCAAAGGGCATGTACCTAGCATTGGAGTTTTAGATTGTCACGTATCAAGTAGTCAGAGCCTCTTGCTAACTAACAACGGAAAACTAACTTCTTTATGTTACACGATTCCTTTCATTTTGCAATTAAAAATTAGCTAAGTAGCTGATTCATAATCAGAAAGATAACTCAATAACCTAACGAGGCCATAAGTCAATATATTTTCAGAAGTTCATTTTGTGCTTGAACATAAACAGTGATGAAGACCAGAATATAACTCGTGAGCTAGCATTAGAATTTTTTCAATTTAGATTATAAGGGGTTTAATTTAACAACTGATGATGAGTAGGTTAAACATTAGCAAACCTGAAATCAATATGCTATACTTCCCAAGATCGTAAAAACCTTTGTCATTTTCCTCTGATTAGTCACATAGAACAGCATTGAGCGTTCACCAAATCCTATAAGATTTCATTGTCCCCCTTTCCTTGTAGACCTTTGATTTTCTTTCAATTAAAATCTACAACATGGTTGCTTATATAGGAAATTTTTTTCCTCTGACTAAGCACAGGATTCTTTCAATATTTTAAGAACCCACAAATTTACAAAGTCCAGAAAAATAATCACAATAAACATTACGAGAAATGCTGCAGATTGATAAAATAGTAAACATGAGGCAGGAAAAAGGAACTTAAGTACCAGTGAGAGACTGAAAACAGTGGAGATCAAAGGTGTCAGCCTGGAGGAGCTCAATTCCTGTACATCCAGATACAGGAGAGAGCTGCTGAGAGATGGCATGCATCGAGTGCCATAGACTTGCAAGTCTCAAGCTGTCATTGGTGTCCATTCTTCCTGCTGACCCATAATCCTGAAGAAAGCATTATGCAACTTTCTTGATTACTTAGACAGCAGAATATGAAAGATAAATCGGGCATGTGAGGGAAGGTGTGCTTGGGAAAATTACCTTATAGAAAATGAGGCCTCCAGATTTGTTGATGATGTAGAGGCTGTAGATCGCAGCCATTTTTGCTTTCTTGCTTGCTTAGTGCAACCAGAGACTTGGTCAGTGCTGTCGAAGAGTGCAGTGCCAAACTAAAATGGAGCCGTGGTGTACCAAAGAGGCGTAGATCAGCTGGAGATCTTTAGTAAACATTTCAGCAAATAATTGTTGCAACCCACCAAAGTTTGATTTTTATGTTGCACATTAATTTCTTTGGTTTATTTAACTCGAAACCTTCTAAATGATTGCATTTTAACTGAAATTTGAACATTATATAAACAATTCATTCAGACATGATCGATTGAGATGAGTTGTTACTATAAGAAAAACTTTAATTGACCAAAAAAATCACTACAAGATCAACATGAGGTGTGTGGAGTCATAATTCTTTCAATTAAAAGTTGTTATTTCCACACCTCCTCACTAAGTTCCTCTGATTCCAAGACGAGTTATAATGAAAACCTATAACTAAGCACCTTTCACCTCATTTCATATGCGAGGCTTCAATTTTTTATCAAATGCTGGAAGACAGGATTGTCTGGAATTGAAGGAGAGGACACCTAGTTAGTGATGTGTAGATGTTCAATAAACCTTGACAAATATATAGGTCCTATCACCACATGATGTTACAACTTACAATCCAGCCCTTGGGATATTGAACAAGAAAACCCAAGAAGGTTTTTTTTTTTTTTTTCTTCTGAGAATTTTGCATGCTTCAGAAGACAAGTGTAAGTAAGATATGGACAAGGCAAAGGCAAAACAATGTTGAATAGAGTGCTTCACATAACTACTCCCTTCTGAGACTATATTTTTGGCCTTTTCTATACCCCCTAAGTTTGGCCATTTCTGTTGTTGATAGAACTCAAAAACCTAAGATCAGGTTTTCTTTTTGCAGAAGTTAGTTCTCAAGGTTGTCTTAAGAAGATAAATGATAAATAATATATGGATAAGTTAAAGACGAAACAATATTGAATGTGCTTCACAAAACTACACCCTTTTGGGACAATATTTTTGGCCTTTTCTACTCCCTAAGTTTTATCTATGGTGATAAAACTTATTATAAGATCGTTACATCTTGACCATTGTAGAGTCTACATCCACTCTCGCATCATAAAGACTCAAACTGCTAGGACATAACACAATGTCTGATCTGATCATGTGTTCATCATCAAGTTCTAGGTTCTAGATGTCATTATACTCAAAATGTCATGGAATATCAGTCAATTTCAGAACAACTTGTAGTTCTGTGAGGCCTACATCTTTTCTAGGACTGTGAATAGCTCACCATAGAAAATCAGGAACACACGTTTTATAAACTTCAATTCCTTGGAACGGATACTGATGCTTGATTTTATTTCAAGTGACTGAACAATTTCCGTCCAATACATGTATTTGGAAAAAAAAAAAATCAACAGAATCAATTAAGAATTAAACAAATAATTACAATTTGAATATGTATTCATTCTCTTGTCTATTAAATCCTCAAGGATTCAGAACCGAATATTGGACCCCAGATCCGATATATAATGGAACATATCCATTCGATCAAAACTAGATAAAAAATATTTAAATATGAAAGAGGAATTTAAACGCAGATCAAGAGCCATATAAGAGCAATAAAAATGAAGAGCAAAAATACAGAAATTTGTATCTAAGATATCCCCGAGTCGGTGTAAAAGAGAAAAGGTTATACTGTTGTTACCGAAAAGAAAGAGATGGCGAATCTGCTTGCAATGCTACTGTTAAAGTGGAGGATAGTACGGAGATTTGAGATTAACTGCCGTAGCTGGTGTGGGGGCTGGCGGCAGGGCCGGTCCTGGGCTGAGGCATTTGAGGCCTCAGCCTCAGGCCCAAAACCCTTAGGGGGCCCAATTTTGCTTCAATTTTTTTTTTTTTTTTTTGGGGATAGTTTTGGATTTTGGATGTTATTTTAATTTTGTATTGTTTTCGTAAACTTGTAATGCTCAAATTTTTGCGTACATAATTGAAAATGTTATTAGATTTTTAAGTAAATTTTTACGTTGATTTCGTCCGGGGGCCCAATTTACGGACCTCGCCTCGGGCCTCCATTATCACAGGACCGGCCCTGGCTGGCGGGATTGGGACAGTGATCGGGTTCTGGTGGTGATTGGAGCCCGGAGGGAGTAGAGGGATAGGAAGAAAACCGCGTCCTTTTTCTTTTTTGTCTTTTTTTTCTTTTTATGCTCCTTGATTTAGGTTTAAAAAAAAAAAAAAAGATTTTTATTATATTTTGATAAAATGTACTATTAAAAAGTTACGAATTTATAAAAAATGTGTAATTAAAATTAATGATTGACTTTGATTTAAATTTTTAATCAAATCAAGCTTGTGTATGGCTAAGCTAAAAATATTAAACTTTTTTTTTTTTTTTAAATACCTAGTCGATCTCCCCTACCCAAGTTTCATGCAATTTTTTAAAGATTTTACTATGACACTCCAGTGTACTGACCCGCTCACAAGAGGGAGGCCCACAAAAAATCGTGGACACTCTGGTGTACTAACCCGCTCACAAGAGGGGGTCCACAAAAAATCCTGCCACCCCCCCTCCCCTTGTGAGGAGTTTGTACACCCGGTATATATGTAGGCAAACCCATTTTTTCATGATATGGCTGGGATTTAATTCCATAAGGTGGCTGTCTTATATTTTCTTCTCTCCTTCTTGATTGCATATAGACTAATATGATTTTGAAATGTCTTATATTATTAATTAAATACTATTATGTAATAGTTATTATATCCACAATTTTGTGATTAATGTAACAAGCTCGGTCGAAAGTGTCCTCTTTTTTTTCTTTCTTGGGTTTACTAAAAATCTCAAAAAATTATTTCACTTAAATTTACTTTTAAAAGATATTATTAGTAGGCTTTGATGTAATAATGTTCATGTTCATTTTAAGCTGAATTGCATTTTTCAAAAATATGCTTCTTAAACCTTTAAATCTATAAAAATTACATTTCAAATCTTTAAATAATTGTGAAGTAGAAGGATATCTGGACGATTTCTATCCAAAGGCACGTTAGTTGTCAAGATAAGAGACTCTGGCCTCTAACCAATCCAATGCAGGGCAAAAAAGTCTCTTTATCTTTTATGATTTTCTGAAATATGTAGTGTTTGTTTCCCTCATTTTTTGCCTGATACAATAGCTCTCTCTCTTTTGCAGTATGTGATTTTCATTTCTGCCATGGACTTGAATATTGAATTTGTAGAGCCTCGGTGCATATGATGATATCCTGGACGAATCTAAGAACATGTTTGGGAGTGATTTTTGAGAATTGATTTTTTGACCGTTAGGAGAAAAGTAGGGTCCATCTAACGGTCAAAAAATCAATTTTTTGGACTAAAAAATCACCCTCAAACAAACTATAAATATAGGCAGACGTTCTTTCATCTTCTAACAAAGACACGTTAACTTAGTGAGTTCCTATTTTAACCAATTTCTTGTATTTTACTCAATTTAAGAGATGTACTTTTTTGTATATTTTGTACGAAACATGAGAGATATTCCCCCACACGATTGGAGGAACCAATTCTTAGTTTTCTTCATTCAAAGCGAAAAATCAAAACTCTCTATCCAACAAGGAATAGTTTCTAGAAAACATGAGTGTTCAAATTTGTACATGGAATCACTGTATTGTGGATCTGTATTTAGATCTTGTTTGATGTCAGATTTGAAGTTAGAATTGGGATGTATTTTTTAGTTAAATCTGTGGTGTTTGATGTTGTACTCTTATGCAACTTCTTATATTGAAATGTATTAATAATTCCCTTTGTTGTTTTACCTCTCATCTTCATGTTTTTGCGCACATTAAATTTTTAAAGAATAAAGCTAAGTATACAGGCCCCATTTCACAGGGCCTATACAAGGTCTCTCGCATGAGGTGGGTCCCGTACCTCATTACAAAAATACCCAAAAGATGCCCATCCCCCTTGTGTTGTGAGGAGCCTATAAGGGTTCTGTGAACCTCCACCTTGGCACTGCAGTTTAGTCCATTTTTAAATAGGAAGAATAGTATAGGTCCAAAACTGTGTTTACTTGGTGCAATGTAGGTCCCAAATCTTTTCATTTGTCGCATTGGTGTATCAAACCTTTTGTAAGTTTTAGCTTAGCCCCCTTCCAAAAACTATAGACATCAAGAACGGGTCATATTCCTCAACAAATTTAACAAGTTTGTTAGCAACACATATAAAAGTGACTTCAACAAATTCATAAGAGATAACAACCTATCACAAGTCAAACAAATTACTCATAAATAGAAAAATATTACTATATACACCATTGCAATATACATATCCTATCATCCGTGTTTAAGCCATAAATGTCAGTGTTAAACTGCCAAGAAAGATACATTTTCAATGTTGCAACAATGTTCATATGTATCTGTTGACACACTAAAAGTGCAGCCCAAATCGAATAGCCCAAAAAATGAAGCCCAATTGAGGAAATTCTCAAATTAAATAGCCCAAAGAATGAAGCCCAATTGGGCAATCCAGGATGAAGGTCCAAACATGATTATTGATGAATGTGGTGGAAGCCCACGAACACGGTAACATCATCGTCCAAGCTTGCAAGACGCCCAGAATCTGAGCGAATAGCATACCTTACGGTCACCCAAAGCGATGACCACGTTCTCGCCCATACCTTCGAATCGCCTAGAATCTTAGCAAACATAAAATGTTATGATTATCCAAAAATGCAGTTATTGAGTAACCTTATCATATTCCACGATTCAAAAAACCCAGTTGAAGGCGGTTGAACGACAAAGAGTAATGACAGCAGTTAGAGACGGCAGTTCCACGATAAGTTAGCCATCATAAAGAAAGTGGGTAGTTATAAAGCAGTCAAGCAGTTTCCAAGCGATTTGTCACGAAGAAATCATCAAGGGAATATAAAAGGAAGAGAAGACATAGAGGGAAAAACCCCGAATCAAACACTTTCAAACAGAGAATATGTAATTTCAATTTCTTAGTTTAAACTTAAACATTTCTTTCAGTACTCGTGTGCTTGCGCCCCTTGGAGACATTCTGTTTAGTTCCAATTGTAAATCATCGCAATAAAACGTCCCTTTTTGGGACTTTGTCTCAAGAGGTTTGTTCCTTACACAATCGTTTGATCCATTTTTTAATTGTTAGCGACTACCCGCGCAAAACAGTATCAACAAAAAAATATAAAACAGAATAAAACTTTCTTTATCTAGTTCCTATCTTTCCCTTAGAATTCTTATGCGAACAATTGTATGTTGATGTAGAAGCCCCTCTATTTCCCTTGGACTCGTTCTGTTCCATGTCCAACGATAGTGCATTGCAAGTCCTCTTGTCATGTCCCATAAATTCACGTCTTCTATTGGTCACAATAAATTTGTATTTAATTAAAATTTATTGTTAAGATTTGGATTTAATTTAATATAACAACAAATTCGTTGCATGTTTCATTGTAAAATTCAAATATTATGATGATGATAGCTTAAAATTCTACAAAAATGAATTAAAATTAATTTTAACTACTGTATAATTGAGTAATCATTCTAGTGGTATAGACAATGCTTGCAAAGCTGTGCAAAGAATGTACTATTAATTGCAATGAAACACATAATATATATTTTGTTAAAATTAAATTAAATTCAAATTTTAATAATGAATTTTCAGCTACTGTTTGATTGCATTATTTAAAAAAAAAAAAGGATCTTTAATAATGATTTTTTTGAGAATGGTGGTTAAAAATTGGAAAGAATTTTGAGTTTACGTGTAAAATATTTTATTATATATATATGTGGTTAAAAATGAGTATGAAAATTAAAATGTTTTGTTTTAAAGAGAGATAATCAATCGCTTAGTTAAATCCAAATATATAGTGAGCAATAGAATACTTTTTCCAAAGTTAAGTGGTCAAAGTTCGATCATCTCAAAGTTCAGTGGCCAAAATTCAACCACCTTAAAATTTAGTTAGTAATAGAAGACATTTTTCAAAGTTTAGTGGGCAAAATTCGACAATTTCAAAGTTTAACAGTGTGATGGAGTGACACATGTGCATTCTATCAACCACGTCATCAATCCCGTTAAAAGTTTGAGACAAAAGTTATGTTAATGAGTAACCTACAACGTTTTCAAATTTGAGTGGCCAAAACTTTACTTTTGAAATTCATTGAATAATCGAGAGCTATAGAATAAATTCGATGACAGTTGGAACAATAAACTCGAATATAATTGTATTCTCTACAAATTTTTTAAATCCTAACAACGTGCTAATATAAGTCCAAGTGGACTTAGCTCATCTCTTAAACTTAATCACATCCAATATTTAATTAATTCAATTAATTAACTTTGGTAAATGAATTAATTATCCAATTAATTAATTTTGGCTTACTAACAAGCAACTCGATTAATTAATTGTTCAACACCTGCCAATTAATTAATTGATAAATCTTATTTTTCTAATTTTTCTTTTGTGTGCGATCCATTAGGTTCCTAATCACGATATCTAGCGACGTGGATTATTATTTTGATCTAATCAAAATTGATAAATTAAATATTCTTTTTTAATTTATCACCAATTCATATTCGTTGTCCCAAATTGACATCTAATGATGTGTCAGGGTAATACATGTGACAAAAAATGTCATGTGCTATGCGAAACTTGTTTGTTTACTGAGAAATTATAATCATTTTGTCAATATGATCCGATCAATTACGAGATTTAAATATATGTCAATTTTAATTATTGATCATATCCTTCATTCTACTATTATATCAATGTAAGTCAAAAACTCATTTTCAACTTATGAGTA